TCAGTGCCAAAGCCAGTGAGATAACCTGAACTTTCCTAGGTTATCTCAGCTGACAATGCCAATATTAATTGCTTAATACAGACACCAATGTTAAAAATCTTTATAAAGTTGCCAGATTCTAGAACTGTGCTGAATTATTATTACAGAAACTTACTCAACTTTTATGTTATTTATTATAATACCATACATGATCCCAATGCCCAAGGTGGTTTGTTTCATGGACTATTACAGCAATTGTTTAGACAGATTTATCCAATCTTTTGGCTTCCCTGGACCACATTGGAAGAACTGTCTTGGGCCACACACAAAATACACTGACGATGGCTGAAGAGTTTTAAAAAATCGCACAAAAGTCTCATAATGCTTTAAGAAAGTTGCCAAATTTGTATTGGGCCACATTCAAAGCCTTCTTGGGCCATATGTGGCCCACGGGCTGCTGGTTGGACCAGCTTGGTTTAGAACAAAGGATTTCTATGGGTATAATGTCTCTTTTCTCCTACTCTCATTTTCAACATGTTTCATAATGTAGTGCCTTCCAGGTGAAAGCATAAGAAATCCCATTTTTAGCCATAATGGTGAATGACAAAATGCCATGAAACAAAAGTGAAAAGAATTGAGAGGAATTTCTGACCTGAATTCATTTTTTAGATTGTAGTCGATAGCGTAACAAGAAATGATAGTGACAAATGATCTGCCAGGGAAAATGATCCAGTATTATTTGCAGCTATGTGACATTATGCTATGAAATACTAATTCAGATAAAACATGATAAGAAATTAAATCGTCAAAAGTACAATAGGATGAATGTATGTCATTGATCGGCATTATTTCTAATGCTTAATTCTATTCAGAGCTAATAATGTTAATGACTAATTCAATAGCGGGCAGACACCACAGTTTTGTTATTCTGATTAATTCCATTTATAAAATACATTAACAATGTTCTGCAAAAAAATTTAATTCAGAAGGCTTGAAATAAAATATTAGGGTGATACAATTTTACAAAATTATATTTTTACCAAGAAGAGGCAGAATATTTAGTTAGCACAAATTACAGAAAGATAAATGAAAAATTATCTTTGAAAATATTAAATATGTCCTCATTGGGTAAAAACATCTCAAAGAATTTCAAGATCCAAGTGCTGTAAACCATTGCTAAAATGTGCTTGAAAGTGCAGTGTGGCTTAGATATGCAGTGTTGGTTAAAAAGAAACATTCAAATTAGTGATCAAATTTAGAAATTTAACAGATTTAGAAGGAGTATGTTTTAGCAGTTAGGAAGGGCATGAGATTTATGTATTAGTTACAAGTCTGGGAAGTGAACTGAACTCGTTTTTATGACCTAAAACAAATCTCCTCTGGATCTCAATTTTCTTAGCTATAAAACTGAGCTGAGAGAGACGACAGTCTTGTTCCCTCACTTGTCTCCCTCTGTGAACAGAAGTTTCCTTTAAAATCAGTACAGAGAAGGTTGAAGACAAAAAGGCACTAAAAACAAATAGGAATGCACATGCAGTTGCATGTATAAGTCCTAGGTTTTGCTGTTACCATCAGTAACAACCACTTGCAAATATGATTATTTTTGATATATAGTCAAGCACAAGCTATTTAATTGAAAATACATATTTCCATTTAGCAGTTTCAAGATGGAATTTGTTTTGTATTGCAAATAAACATGCTGCTTTACTCTATATGCGTATATATTCTTCCTTGTAATGTCATTAAAATAGATGTCAGTTTGTAGGAAATTATTTCTAGACTCCTTTGTACTACCAAGCATATGCTGTGATTGTAATCAACTTAATTGAAGTGGATCTATGTTTATGTCGAAATAGGTTTTTAATGGTTCTTGGAAATTAGGTAGTTCCTTCATGTCATTTGAGATGGGAGTGTTCGCGTGGATTTGGGATAGTGCTCTTTTAATTGGTTATTAAATTGTGTAGTGGTAGGGATGGGAAACTTCCATAAAGGTTATGGTGAGCTCATGATTACCTTAATTTCTTCCTTTCTTTTTCTTTCCTTCTTTTTTTAATGTGTGTGATTATCTTTTTTAAATTAATATACTTTAAGTTCTGGGATATATGTGCAGAACATGCAGGTTTGTTACATAGGTACACACATGCCATGATGGTTTGTTGCATCCATCAACCCGTCATCTACATTAGGTATTTCTCCTAATGCTATCTGTCTGCTAGCTCCCCATCCCCAACAGGCTCCAGTGTGTAATGTTCCCCTCCCTGTGTCCTTGTGTTCTGATTGTTCAACTCCCACTTGTGAGTGAGAACATGCAGTGTCTGGTTTTCCAGTCCTGTATTATTTTGCTGAGAATGATGGTTTCCAGTTTCATCCATGTCCCTGCAAGAAACATGAACTCATCCTTTTTATGGGTGCATAGTATTCCACAGTGTATATGTGCCACATTTTCTTCATCCAGTCTTTCATCGATGAGTTCCAAGTCTTTGCTATTGTGGACAGTGCTGCAATAAACATATATGTGCATATGACTTTATAGTAGAGTGATTTCTAATCCTTTGGGTATATGCTCAGTAATGAGATTGCTGGTTCAAATGATATTTCTGGTTCTAGATTCTTGAGGAATCTCCACACTGTCTTCCACAATGGTTGAACTAATTTACACTCCCACCAACAGGGTAAAAGTGTTCCTGTTTCTCCATGTCCTCTCCAACATCCATTGTTTCCTGACTTTTTAATTATCACCATTGTAACTGGCATGAGATGGTATTCTCTTTCCTTCTTTCTACTTCCTTCCTTCCTTTTCATCTTTCCTTCTTTCCACTATTCCTTCTTTTTTCCTTTCATTCAAACTTTCTTTACTTTTTTCTTTATCCTTATCTCTCCTTTTATTTCTGCCTTTTCCTCTTCCTTCTTCCATTCTGTCTTTCTTCTCTTGCTTCCTTCATTTCATCCATCTTCTTTCTATTTTTCTCTCTTTTTATTTTCTCTTCCATTCATCCCCATGGCCTCCTATCTTTTTTCTTTTTCTGTCGTCTGCCATGACTTCCTTTCCAATCATCCAACCTGCTTACTTCTCTTCCTTGTTTGCATCCACCTTGCCTCCCTTCCATCCATCCATTCATATATTCACCAGGTATGCTTTTCTTTCTTCTTTGATAAAACAACATTTATTGGACCCTGCTCTGTGCCAGAGGACAACTCAATATTAGGAATACTGAAATAAATAACACATGGTCTCCAAGGAACTGAAAGTGTGTCTAGAAGAAAGAAAGAGAAAATCTTAAACATCCTGGTAAAATCATACAGAGAACTGTGGAGAAAGAGGTATGGCTTGGAATAATGTTGTTTGTGCACAATCTTCAATTTCTACCCTCTACCCTATCTTTTGCTGACCACTTCTGGTATCTAGTGCACCCAATGAGCCTCCTCCTTCACAGTAACACAGTGTGATAGAAGTTATCATAACCATTAAAAACTTCCCCCCTCCACCAGTAGATCTCCGTTTTTTCTTTTAAGAATAGTCCATAATAATGTCATAAAAAAATTCACTCCAAAGAACCCTTGGATTAGTCAAGCGCCAGAGATTACCTGCCTGGGTTTTTCAATGCCTGCTTTCCCCCTGTCCTACCCTACCCCAAAAAGGCCCATTTTCAGGACTGGCCCTTGGTTTGGCTCCTGGGAATCAATCTCTGAGTTCCTGGAACATCCTGCTTGATAAGAGTGGTTTTTTTTTTTTTTTTTTTTTTTTTTTTTTGTTTGTTTGTTTGTTTGTTTTGCCTGAGGCCTTTGATGATGCTGCATCAGTTTGATCTCTGGTGATCTGGAGCCTGAAAAGCTGAGGTCAGTCACACAGGTACTGCACAGCTCTCTTACTCATCTCCAATTAAAACCTTAAGCAACAAGTCTCAAGTAAGCTTCCTTGGTGGGCGACATTTCACATGTGTGATAATACATCATTTCTGGGAAATTAATGCTGTCTACATGTGGCTTCACTGGGAAATAGCATCTGGAATCTCACACCTGATTCTCCTGAATTTCACTTATGTACTTTTTTATTTAGCTGATGTTAATCTTTGCTCTTTTGATTGTAAGAAACTATAACAATGTTATGAGTCCTGTGAGTGTTCAGTAAGCGTGAGGGTGGTATTGGGGACCCCTAACATACTAAGAGATGCCTGCCGATTCTCCTGTGCTTTCTACAGACCACACATTGTACCATAGTTATGAACATGATACCATTGGGAGAAACCCGTGAAAGTATAAAAGATCACTATATATTGTTTTGTATAACTACATGTAGGCCAATAATGATCTCAAGATAAAACATTTTTTAAACACATATTTTAATTGTACCCTTAAAATGGGTACATTTCATTTCATATGAATTATAACTCAATAGAAGTGATTTTTAAAAAGCTCTAAATTACTTTGTTACAAGACCCTAGTCCTTGGCCTTTATATAATAGCCTGAAACATTTATGTATCTTATAATGATAAGATTTTGTACTACTAAATCAACTTTTCATGCTTTTCCACTTAGATTGAATATTTCCCCGCCACACAAGGCTCCTCAGTCTCTCTCACAAAACGTCTTTTGTAAGGCAGCCCCATTGTTTTGTAAGAAGTACTTTAGCATGTGGTAAAACCAGTTAGACACAAATTAAAATGCCTCCTTCAAAATAAAAGATAAATTTAATAACTCATGCTCAACCAACTCAAAATGTATTTGTCAAGTACTTTTTAAATGTTAACATTGTGCCAGGAATTGCAGAAATTAATAAATTAATTACAAAACAATGTCCAAGCTTTTGCAGGCCTTATCATAGTTCTGCCACATGCTAACTATGCGATCTTGGTTAAGTTTCTTAACCTCTTTCAACTTTAGTTTTCACATCTTTAAAATAGAGAAAATAAAACTACTTACCTCATAAGTTATAAAGTTTAAATTAAAAAAAATTATTTAAAAATGCAATGGAAATGACCTCATGGCTGGCAAAAAGTAAATATACCTGCAGATTCATGAGAAGAGAGTAAAACAATGATTAAAGGACTCCCAGAATTATAAAGATGGTAGGATTTGAGTTACATGTGGAGAAATGAGGTGGTAGAGGAAATAAAAACATGAATAACAAGGGAGGGTGTTTAGCACTGGACTATAAATGGAAGTGAATCTATTGCTATATGGTTGTGGTGGGAGATGAGGTTGGATAGGTGAAGGATGCAACTATAGAGACTTTGAATAATAAGTAGAACTTAGATTTTTATTCAAGAAGTGATAAACTAAATTTTAGGGAGAAGAGGGATGCATCTATGTTCATAAAAATATTACTATAAGATTTATTTTCTTGTAATTTATTCATCTGATTCTAGTATCTGATTACTATTCTTTTGATAGTATAGTCTCCATCTTAGAATTAGTTGGCTTAGAATTAGTATTTTTCTTTAAATTTCTGGAATAAAGACATTTATAACCAGAATTTATTTTTAGGAATGCTTTAACTACAAATTATATTTCTTCAATAATATAGGACTATTCAGGCTACCTACTTCTTGAGGAAATTGTATTAATTTATGTATTTCAAGGACATGTGTACTTTATCTGATTTGGCAAATTTGTTTGCATAAGTTTTTCATAAATTTAAAAATTTTTTAAATGACAGTAGGATCTGAACAATTAATGCCTATTTTACTGCTGATATAGTTAATTTGTGTTTCTCCTCTTTTTTTTCCCTGATCTATCTAGCAAGAGGGTTTATTAATTGTATGGATTCTTTCGATGAGCCAGTTATTGTTTTCATTGACTTTCTCTATAGTTTTTGTTTAATATTTCTGCTCTTATCTTTATTATTTGATATTTTCCTCTTTGTGCACATTTTTGGGAGATTTTGTTTTGCTGGTTTTTTTTTAAGTTCCCTAATTGGAAAGCTTAAATTATTGATTTGACAAATTTTGTTTTTTTTCCAGCATTTAACGCTGTAAATTCCCTGTTTAGTCCTGTTTTATTTTCATCTCACAGACTCTCATATGTCACATTTTTCTTTTTCAAAAAGTTTAAATTATCTTCTAATTTTACTTTTTATTTCCACCAGAAATACACAGAGAGAGAGTGAGAGAGATTTTTATATAAATATATATATATATAAATCTATTGCAAGAAAAAGGAATTGGCTTACATGATTGTGATGGCTTGCTTAGCAACTCCTACTTCTGTAGGGCAGGCAGTCAAGAAGATAGGCTGGAACTCATAAGCACAGGCTGAAGCTGTAGTCCCCAAAATGATTTTTGTTTCCAGAGAAGCCTAAATCTACTTTTAGAGACTTTCAACTGATTGAATCAGGTCCAAATGTCTTCACAGCAATACCTTGGTCAGTGTTTGATTGAATAACTTGGAACTATAGCCTAGCTGAGTTAATACACAAACAGGCTGCCTTAGTCCCTTTATGTTGCTATAAAAAATACCACAGACAATAATTTATAAAGAGTATAGATTTATTGCTCACAATTATGAGGCCGGAAGTCCAAGATCAAGGGTGCCCCAGGTTCGATGTCTGGTGATAGCCTAACCTCTGTTTTCAAGATGGTGCCTTGAATGCTGTGTTTTGACATGGTGGAAGGAGGGGAAGCACAAAAGGGGCTACCTAGTTGCCTCCGCCCTTTTATAAGGCTCTAATCAAATCTATAATGGCAGAGGTCTTATGGCTTAATCACCTCTTCAAGGTCCCACCTCACATTAAGAATTAAGTTCCAACATGAATTTTGGAAGGGACACACACATTCAAACCACTGGTCATCACATTGACTCAGCAGTAAAATAGAAGTACATTTTTAAATTTCTCAATATTTGGGGATTTTTATATATCTTTCTTTTTGCTTTCTAATTCAATTCCATTTAGTAGGAGAACACACTTTGTATGATTTAAACATTTTTACATTAATAGAGCTTATATTACTGACTTTTTATCTTGGTAATTTTTCCATAACTACTTAAAAAAATTTCTGTTATCCTTTGGTGGAGTGTTCTATAAATGTAAAATAGCTTTAAATTTTTGTTAAATTTTCTACATCCTCCCTGAAGACTGGTCTACATGTTCTATATGGCTTGGCTGTATACTCACCAAAATCTCATCTTGAATTGCAGTCCCCATAATCCCCACATCTCCAGGGAGAGACATAGTAGGGGGTGATTAAATCATGGGGGATGTTACTCTCTTGCTGTTCTCATGATAGTGAGTGAGTTGTCACAAGATCTGATGGTTTTATAAGGGGCTCTTCCCCCTTTGCTCCTCATTATTTTCTCCCCTACCACCAGGTGAAGGTCCTTGCTGCCTCTTCACCTTCTGTGACATGAAGCTGGGGAAGCCTCAGGAAACTTACACCTCTTTCCCTCGTAACTTACTTAGTCTTGGGTAGAATCTTTATAGAAGTATGAGAACACATTAATACAGTAAATTTTTACCATGAGTGGGGCGCTGCTATAAAGACACGTGAAAATGTGGAAGCAGGTTTGGAACTGGGTATCAGGCAGAGATTGGAACAGTCTGGAGGACTCAGAAGAAGACAGGAAGATGTGGGAAAGCTTGGAGTGACGTGGACAACAAAGTGCAGGCTGAGGTCTCTCAGATGGAGATGAAGAACTTATAGGGAACTGGAATAACTGTCCCTCTTGCTATGCTTTAGCAAAGAGACTGGTGGCATTTTGCCCCTGTCCTAGAGATTGGCTGAACTTTGAATTTGAGAGAGGTGATTTAGGATATCTGGCAGAAGAAATTTCTAAGCTGCAAAACATTCAAGAAGTGACAGATCATAACAGTTTGAAAAATTTGCAGCCTGACAATGTGATAGAAAGAAAAACCCATTTTCTGGAGAGAAATTCAAGCCTGCTGCAGAAATTGGCATAAGTAACAAGAAGCCAAATGCTAATAGCCAAGACAAAGGGAGAAATGTCTCCAGACATATTGGAGACCTTCACGGAAGCCCCTCCCACTAAAGGCCCAGAGGCCTAGAAGAAAAAATTGGTTTCTGGGCCTGGCACAGAGCCCCAGCTGTTGTGCGTACCCTAGGGACTTGGTGCCCTGTGTCCCAGCAGCTGGGGCTAAAATGATGGAAATAAAGCTTGTATTGTGGCCTCAAAGGGTGCAGACCCCAAGCCTTGGTGCCATACATGTGGTGCTGGGCCTGTGGGTACACAGAATTCAAGAACTGTGGTTTGGAAACTTCCACCTAGATTTCACAGGGTGTATGAAAACTCCTGGATGTCCAGGCAGAAATCTGCTGCAGGGTTGGAACCCTCATGGAGAACCTCTGCTTGGGCAGTGTGGAAGGGAAAGATGGCACTGGAGCCCCCACACAGGGTTACCACTGAGGCACTTCCTAGTGGAGCTGTGAGAAGAGGGCCACCATCCTCCAGATCTCAGAATGGTAGATCCACCAACAGGTTGTACCCTGTGCCTGGAAAAGCCAGACACTCAAAGCCGCAGACACTCGACAGTCTTCCTGGCCTGTGAAAGCCAGGAGGCGAGTTGAGTATCTGATAGAATTCATGATAGAATTGTGAAAGCAGCCAGGAGGGGAATTGTACCCTGAAAAGCTGTAGGGACAGAGCTGCCCAAGGCTGTGGGAGCCCACCTCTTGCATCAGCATGAGACGGATGTGAGACATGGATTCAAAGGTGATTATTTCAGAACTTTAAGATTTAATGACTGCCCCTCTAGATTTTGGACTTGCATAGGGCCTGTAGCTCCTTTGTCTTGGCCAATTTCTCTGATTTAGAATGGGAGGTTTTATTGAATGCCTGCACCTCCACTGTATCTTGGAAGTAACTAATTTGCTTTTGGTTTTATAGGCTCATAGGCAGAAGGGACTTGCCTTGTCTCAGATGAGAATTTGGACTTGAACTTTTAAGTGAATGATGGAATGAGTTAAGGCTTTGATGGGAGTGTTGGGAAGGCATGAATGGTTTTGAAATTTTGCCTTTTCTCAGATGAGACTTTTAACTTAGACATTTGAGTTAATGCCGAAAAGAGTTAAGACTTTGGGGGACTGTTGGGAAGGCATAATTGATTTTGAAATGTGAGGAAATCAGATTTGTGATGGGTCAGGGGTGAAATGGTATGGTTTAACACTGTCCCCACCCAAATCTCATCCTGAATTATAACCCCATAATCCCAACATGTCTAGGGAGAGACCTGATGGGAAGTGATTGGATCACAGGGACAGTTCACCCATGCTGTTCTAGTGATACTGAGTTCTCATGAGATCTGATGGTTTTATAAGGGGTTCTTCCTCCTTTGTTCCTCATTCTTCTCTCTCCTGCCACCATATGAAGAAGGTCCTTGCTTCCCCTTCACCTTCTGCCATGATTGTATTCAGAGGCCTTCCCAGCCATGTGGAACTGTGAGCCAACTAAACCTCTTTCCTTTATAAATTACCCAGTCTCAGGTAGTGTCTTTATAGCCATGTGAGAACAGACTAATACATTGTTCTATCTTTTATTGACAAACAAGTGTTAAAATTTATAAATACAATGATAGAGTTGTTCATCTTTTTTTTCTCTCAATTATTTTGTTGAAAATTTTTAAAATGGCCAGTTTTAATAAGACCTAATTTACATACCCTAAAAGTTATCCTTTTAAGTTACACAACTAAGTGGGTTTTATTAATAGTTATGTATCACTTAACAATAGGAATGCATCCTGAAAAATACATTGTTAGGTGATTTCATAATTGTGTGAACATCATAGGATATACCTACACAAACCCAAATGGTACAGATGGTACAGATGGTACAGCCTATGACAACATATGCTATATGGTATCCTCTATTGCTCTTAGGCTACAAATCTATGCAGCATGTGACTTTTCTGAATACTGTAGGCAATTGTAGCACAATGGTAAGTATTAATATTTGTGTATCTAAACATGAAAAGGTACAGTAAAAATATAATATTATATTCTTCTGTGAACACAAGCATATATGTAGTTCTTCATTAACCAAAATGTAGTTATGAGGCACATGACTGTATACTCACAGATTTGAGAAACTATCACCACAATCTAATTTTAGAATATTTCCATCACTCCAAAAATAAACCTCATACTCATTAGAGGTTATTCCCCATTCCTCTCCCCACTAGCCCCTGGCAACCACTAATCTATTTTATGTCTATTGGGATTTGCCTGTTCTGGGCATGCCACAAAAATGGAATCATACAATATATAGTTTTATGTGTCTAGCTTCTTTCACATACTATAATGGTTTCAATGTTCATTCGTGTTGTAGTATGTGTTAGTATTTTACTGTTTCTATTGCCTAGTAATATCCATTGTATGAAAATATAACATCTATTAGTTATTGATTCATGTGTGTTAAAATTCCATTAGAAGGGAATACACATTTATGACTGTCATATTCTCTTGAAAGATTAATGTCTCTATCATTACAAAATGTCCCTCATTATCCCTGGTAATTGTTCTAGTACTTTAATCCACTTTGTCTAACATTAATATAGCAACTCCAGTTTTTTAAAAAAATAGTTTGCAGGTTAAACTTTTTCTCATAATTTGACTTTAAACTTATTTTCACCTTTTATTTAAGGTTAATTTCTTATAGATAACTGATACAGGGTTTTGATTTTAGGCTGACAAACTCTGCCTCTTAAATGGAACATTTAGATTAAATTTAATATAATTATTATTTCTCAAAATAATTATGATTGAGTTAAATTTACTACATAGCTATTTTTTGTCCTATCTGTTCTTAATTTCTTTTCTTTTGCGTTTGTTTGAAACTTTTTATGATCCTTTTTTATCTCTACTATTGGCCCAATAGTCATATATCTTTATTGATTTATGTCATGGTTTCCTTAGGTTTATAAAATACATTTTAGAATATTACAACATAAGTTTAAATAACATACTACATTTATTATAAGAAACTTGCAAGTATACTTTTTAGTTCCCTCTCAATATTATTACACACCTCACAATTCACTGTTCTTAGTTTTATCTTAAATATGCAAATATCTTTTAAAATACCTTCAAAATATTGGGAAAAAATTATTTTGCCCACAGATTTACCATTTATTTATGGTCTTCATTGCTTTGGGTTAATTTTTCTTATGGTGTGATTTTCCTTCTTGTTCTAAGTTAACAATAATTTTATTATAGGTCTGCAGTTAATTAATTCTCTTGGCTCTGTCTGAAAAATTCTTTATTTCACCTTAATTTGTGAGTGATAAATTTTACTGCATAGTGAATTCTAGATTGACAGCTGATAGGTGTTTCGTTTGTTTTTGTTTTATTATGCCATGCATGTTGCTGAATTATGTTATTACTATAATAGATTCTGATAAAAAAAATCTCCATATGTGGACTATGTCTCTTTCTTTAACTTGTTTTTAAGATCTTTTTATGTCTACTACAAGTCATCATTAATTTAATTATAATATGTCTTGGTGTGACTTTACTTTTCTTCTGTTTGGGCTTTGTTGTACTTTGTGTATCTCTTAATTTAAATTTTCTATTATAGTTAGAAGCTATTTAGCATTACCTTTGAAACAGTTTCCCTGTTTTGACTCATTTTTTCCCCCTGGGGCCCCAGTTATATGTTTGTTTGACCACTTGATATTGTCCCACAGGTAACAAATGCTGTTCTTTCTTTGACCAAATCTTTTCTCTCTGTGTTTTGTTTTGAAGATTTTCTATTGCTATGTCCTCAGTTTCACTGATTTTTTTTTTGTAGTGTCTAGTTATTGTTAATGTCATCCAACATAATTTTTTCTTGGATTTTATATTTATTATATCTACACGTTTGATTTCGATCTTTTTTATACCTTCCATTTTGTCTCTATCACATTTACATTTCCTCTACTTTTTTTTTGTACATATATAGTATACTTATAATAACTTTATAGCGTCCTTGTCTACTAGTTCAAAACCATTTGTGTTCTTTCTGGTCTGTTTCTATTGATTGATTTTTCTCCTGGTTATGGGTTAGGGTTTTCTGCTTTATTGCATGCCTGATAATGTTTAGTTAGTTGCTGGACATTGTTAATTTTATGTCATATGGCACTTTATTTTCTTATATATATTTTTAAATATTGTTGACCTATTATCTAGGACAAAATTAGCATGCCAGGATAATTCTTTTGAAACTTGTATTTGAGCTTGACAAAGAAGCTTTACTTAAGTTATCATTTCACCACTCCATTAATGCAATATGTTTCTAAAGATGCTAAGCAGTATCTTATGTATACAAAGGTTATTCACTTTAGGTGATGAGAATAGCAACTAATTCCAGCTATGTGTGAGCTTAGCTAATTGTTCTGACAATAATTTTTCTTAGTTTCTTCCACTAGTCTCAGGTGGTTTCCCACACAGTTGTACAAATCAATACTCATACAGACTTGTGCTGACCCTATGAAGATATCCAGACTTCTCTTTCTGTAAAGCTCCCTCTGTTCCAGAATGTTGTCTCCTCAGTTCAGTTCATTGAGCTCTGTTTGGTTTCTTACTCCATGCACTGTGGTTTGGAAGATCTTTTTGGCCAGTAACATAGGGAAATCGTAGGGCATATCTTGGTTTTTCCCTTCTTTCAGGAAATATTCTCCTGTACTTCTTGCTATTCAATGTGTAAGCACCTTCATTTCTCTATTTTGTCCAAATATACAACTGTTAAAGGTGAAGCATTAAATCCTGACTCCATTACTTTATCACAAGCAGATAGATGTACAAGCCTTAAATGACTTCCAAATTATTTAAGTTTGGAAAAAAGCTGATTTGTTGTGTACAGATTTATTTGAATACTAGATGTAGACTTTCTGTAGTCAAATTAAACCTACCCAGAGAGAGACAATTTAACCATCACATTTGAAAAAACAGACAAACAAACACCTGTGCATTTTGTCCAGAAAAGAAA